CCTTGCTTCCCTCCCTCCTTTCTTCCCTCCTTCCTTCCCTCCTTTCTTCTCTCCTTCCCTCCTTCCTTCCCTCTTTCTTCTCTCCTTCCTTCCTTCCTTCCTCCTCTCCTTTCCCTTCTCTCCTTCCCCTTCCTCCCCTTTCCCCTTCCCCTCTTCTTCCCATTCGGGAGGAAAATCTATACGATCGCTAGGAATCTAAAACGACCGGGCGGCGCATAAATCGCTTTTAACCAACGTTAAAGAAAGACCCAGGCTCGCAATGACGAACGCAGAAAGGGGTCTGTGAGTCCGGTTCGGCTTTCGAAACGGAGAACCCCGCATGAAGCCAACCCAACGGGGAAGCTCGCTCGAGAAGGGGCGAGGAAGAAACGCCCCGCATCTCCGCGCAGCCTTACCTGCCCGCCAGGTGCGACGGTGGCGAGCAGCAGCGCCAGAAGCCAGCAGCTCCGCGGAACGGCCATCCTCGCTGGAGTCCCTGCGGCGGAGGCGCAAAGAGATCCTCGGCCAGCCCAGGCACCGAGCCGCCTCTCCGCCCGGCTCCAGCGCCGGCCCCGAGGGAAGAGCAGGAGGCGGGCAGGGAAAGTCCGCCCTCCTCGGCTTCGGCGGCCCACGCGGCTCCCTTGAAGGAGGCAGGGCGGGGTTTCCTCTTTCCCTTCTTTCCAAAGAAATAAAGACAAGGTGAGGGACAGGTAGCCCTCGACTTTATGTCCTCCAGTGACCCCAAAATCCCTGTTGCTCAATGAGACACTTATTGAGTTTTGCCCCGTTTTACGACCTTTCTTCCCACAGTTGCTAAGTAAATCACTGCAGTTTTGACTTAGTTGTTAAGCGGATCTGGTTTCCCTCTTGACTCGGCTCGTTCAAAGAATACAAGGTAGTCCCTGGCTGAGCAGCACGATCGGGTCCAACATTTCTGTCGCTAAGTGAGGCATTTGCTAAATGAGGCTTTGCCCCATTTTATGGCCGTTTTTGCCACAGGCGTTTTAAGTGAATGCTGGCGTTAGGTTAGTAACACAGTTGGTTAATAGCAATAGCAGTTAGACTTATCTACCGCTTCATAGGGCTTTCAGCCCTCTCTAAGCGGTTTACAGAGTCAGCATATTGCCCCCAACAACAA